TAACGAGAGCATTGTTTTCCCTAATATGTTGGAGGTGGAAGTCAACATGTTGCAGGATACTAAGTCATCAAAAAGTCCTGTTAATTTCACACATGGGTGTTTGTGAACACTAACAGAGGTTTTCTTTAAAATAATTTATTATTTACTTGGATTTAAGGGACTGTGGGGGAGCATTTGGCCACAAAGTTAAGCGTATCTGGATTTTAACCATGCCTTTGGTAAAGGGTCCTAAGCAGAATATTTGAACTATATTAAAAGCATATCTAACAGATTATAATAAAGTTTGGAAAACAAATGTGATTTCCAAGTATGCTCTACAGCTTTCAAAATGTTTTATCAAATATCTTTCTGTTCTGTTTGGGCTTTCTATCAAAAAATTACATATTCTTTTAGACATGTGGTTGAAAAATTATATGTTGGCCTACTAGGATAATATGGCCTTCAGTCATAACTCTCTCTCTCAGTAACCTAGAGGCCTATAACAGATAAGATGGTTAAAATAATATAAACAATCTCTGGAACAGGAATTATGTTTTTTATGATCACATTTATCTACAAATCTAGGATTTTCATTTCATTTCACTCCAGCAGCTGCTTTTAAATATTTTTCTCCCTATTTTTTTAAAACTGTCCTGTTTATTGTCATTCACATTGGCATTACTAAACATTCCATTTGGAATTCTGATTTTAGCAAGCTTTTTATTTTGTATAAAGGCCTGTGTATGTACGAGTTTACTTTCATATCTTATAGCAGACAATAAATCCCACGTCCAGTGAAAATAGGAAATACAGTCAAGCATCTAAGAACTCCTGAGGTCTAAATTCATGCACACAATGGCCCATCAATTCATTCACAACTTAGCTAGGAGTTTGGCAAGGCAACCAAAAGATTCCAAGATACATTATATATAGGCAATCGAAAAAGCTGAAAATAGCAAGTTCAAGTACCTGATTCAATAAGTAAAAAACAAGGGAAAGAACTCAAGTTCTCACTCAGAGTGAGGAACTGCTCAAATTCTCATTGGCCTTGTTTGGGACTATCCTTTTAAAATGTTGTGCACTAGACTGCTAATGTCACAAGAGGTTTCCAAACATTAGGTCACAGAAAAAAACAGGAATCGGCTACATCGTGAATTATATGCCTCTGCACTATAGTACCCATGATTTGGGTACTATGTCCCTAGTACCCAAATCATGGACTACCAATCATAGCAGGGACACAAGATTTAAAGGAGAAACCCCCGAGTCTGGAACTGGTGGAGTTTTACATCTTAGAAATCCCTCCTAGCAATACAGTACAAATGCATGATGGGAAGCAATCGCTTATGTATCTTGTTGCAAGAATTGGACATGTCTAGTCCAGGGGTAGGCAACCTTGGCTCTTTTATGACTTGTGGACTTCAACTCCCAAAATTCCTGAGTCAGCATGGCTGGTTCAGGAATTCTGGGTATTGAAGCCCACAAGTCATAAAAGAGCCAAGGTTGCCTACCCCTGGTCTAGTCTAACGAACAGAAGGACTAGAGGTGATTTGATAGGGGCTGATATCTGAGGGGTTGCCACAAAGAAGAGGGAGTCAAGCTATTCTCCAAAGCATCTGAGGGCAGGACAAGAAGTAATGGAGGGAAGCTTATCAAAGAGAGATTCAACCTAGAACTAAGGAGAAATTTCATGACAGTGAGAACATTTCATCAGGGGAACAGCTTGCCTTCAGAAGTTGTGGGTGCTCCATCACTACAGGTTTTCAAGAAGAAACTGGACAGCCATTTGTCCAGAATGGTATAGGGCAGGGGTAGTCAACCTTGGCTCTTTTATGACTCGTGGACTTCAACTCCCAGAATTCCTGAGCCAGCTGAGCCAGCCAACTCTGGGAGTTGAAGTCCACGAGTCATAAAAGAGCCAAGGTTGACTACCCCTGGTATAGGGTCTCCAGCATGGGCAGGGGGCTGGACTAGAAAGCCTCCAAGATCTCTTCAACTCTATTATACTGTTACTGTTACATTTTGGCAACAGCATAGTGGTTAATTCTGAGAGTATCCTTCATTTTACATGGATACCCTAACAAAATATTCCCTCCTAGAAAACCCGTGCAGTCAAGGTGGTATCACCAAGATGGTATCACCTAAGCATATTAAGCTCCCTATCCACCTTTTCACCTCCCTCTTGAGATCAACTGAAATGAGTTATTACCAGGCTGATGGGTAAAGTAACGTGTCCACTGCATACATATGACTAAGTCACTCTGTTTATTAGTAATTAGATTTATTAGTTGATTTTCAAGAGTATTCCAACAACACAATGCAATGCATAATAATCACATTCAGCTTTAACACCAGGAGAGGGGATCAACACGGTGCTCCTATATTTTAAATTACCACATCGTACATACAGAGTTGCAAACAATTCCACATAGCTAGAACTATTAAAATAATCAAAGCCCCTTCAAAGATCCACATTCAGAAGCAAACGAGATCTTCAAAGGCAGTGGCAGACAGACACACGCACACACGCGCACACACACAAGTAGGAGTGCCAGTTATTCACTCCAGCCAGGCACTTGTGTTTTGGAAAACAGTGACACAGGTGACAAGAGTAGCAGCTGCTGTGTGTCTCGTGCACGAAGTCCCTGTTGGAAAACTCTTTCTGCTGCTTGATCATTATCTATCGTGCAGCTTGCAAAAATGCAGGAGCCTTGCAGGAGAAAATTGCTTAGCACTCCCCAGGCTAGAAAAACTGGAAGCCTGCTGGTCATCGCTGCTGGTCGCAGGGCTGGCAGTCCCTTGTGGTCACCACAGAAAGGAAGCATCCTGTATTAGCAGGAGAGATGGAGAGAGAGAGAGAGAGAGAGAGAGAGAGTCATAAGCAACTCTACCTAGACCTGGAGGCATAATAAATGTGTATAAAGGTGTGCAAGTGACAGTGCAGTAGTGTCAGCCAAGTGGTCTCTGCTGTCCCAGTCCACCCTATTTCAGCACCAGGGAAGGGAGAAATGGACTCTTGCCCTTTTTGGAACCACAACAAACAAGGTGTGTCTGGCAACAGACATGTTTCCTCTATGCACCTGGCTGGTGATTCGGTAAAACACGGATGCCTTAGGCGGCAGTAAAAAGTACTGTATCTGTAGGGAGCATCTGATCTTTGCCAACCCATTTTATCCGCTCTCCGTTGTTAGAGGAGACGGGTGTTAAAGCAAAACATTATAGACAAACATCATTTCTCACACGGGGACAAATGAGGAAGAGACAGGAGACAGTTACAGGTAGCCCTCGACTTACGACCACAATTGAGCCCCCAAATTTCCGTTGCTAAGCGAGATGACTGTTAAGTGGATTTTGCTCCATTTTATGACCTTTCTTGCCTCAATTGTTACATTAGTAACACAGCTGTTAAATGAATCTGGCTTCCCCCACTGACTTTGCTTGTTGGGAGGTGGTCCCAGGGGGATCACTGCAACCGTCACAAATATCAGCCGGTTGCCAAGCATCAGAATTTTGATCTCGTGGCTACGGAGATGCTGCAACGGCCGCAAGTGTGTGTGTGTGGGGGGGGGGGACACAGTCCTGAGTCACTTTTTTCAGTGCCTTTGTAACTCCAAGTGGTCACTAAATGAATGGTTGTAAGTTGAGGAACACCTGTAATGAGGTTGAACGCTTACAACTGTACATCATTTGTGGCTTACCTTTGCGTTCTACGATCTGGCCTGATAACCCAGTTCCTGGCGTGGAACAGGGCTGGATGTCAGGAATGCCAACGTGATGTAGCTATTAGGATTCTAAAGGGAAAGCATGTTAGCGTGTTTTATATTTTCCTGGACATTTCATGACCAGGATGTGTCTCGTTGACTCCTAAGAATGTACAAGGTAAGAGGTAGAGAATATAGCCCATGCAAGAGAATATGTGTAGCTAAGATTGAACTGTAGAGTCCTTGGGGCATTCTAAGCTTGGTTGTTTGCTTGTAGATGTTTCATAACCCATCTATATAACAATATGAGTGCTTATGAGTGTGGGGTTTGCACACTCCACTCACTAGCACTGATGAAGTTACCTAGTTGGGTAATGAAATGTCTGCAAACAAACAACCAAGCTCAAAGAGCACCAAGGACTCCCGACTATAGCCCATGTACTGCAAACCTGAATTGTGTCCTCCCCCTCTACATACATACCTAAATAAATACAAAATACATGTATATAGCGTGCCGTAACTGGATCACTGTGGTTATAAAGCTAGCTTTATAACTGAAAACGGTTAAGATCTTCCTTTCTTCTTTGATAAATGCATTACTTGTTCACTTCTGGTAAAACCAACCCACAGCTGTTAACAACATAAACCGAAAACTGAAATCAGTAAAATCACAACTGAAATCAGTAAAATCACAGTAAAATATAGGAGAATCACCATAAGCAATTACATCTCCATGGTATGTTTTCCAAGGAAAGAAAAACCCAAGAAATCTTGGAAAAATTAGAAACAGTTTAGATAATAGGGGAAAATACCTGATGAATGTCTCTAATCATTTGTAACAGGAAGAAGTAATATATGAAACAAAACATAGATAGAAACAGAATGTAAAAAAGCCTTATCTCGTAACATGGCATTTTATGCCAGCCGTCAATTTTGACTGGTGCCAATATTTGTATTGAAGGCTGCCTGTTGCAATTTACGACTGAGTAATATTACAGTACCATATGTTAATGCAATCAGTATAGCCATTTTGTGAATTCATTTGCAGCACCGTCTCACTACTAGAACGTCCTGACACACACCGGCTCAATTGCAAAATAATGCTCAAAAAGTTGAAGTTTTCGTATTTTAATTGGTTAGGCGTTAAGACAATAAAACACACTTTGTTTTTAGGGTTCCCATACATATTCGATGAATATACGAGAAAAAAAACCTCAATCCCGCAGAAATCAGAATCCGCTGTAATCGGAAGACGCTCAGATTAAGATTGTATGTTACTCTTTAGTTGACTGTCATTCGAGAGCTAGGAAGGACACTTACGTTTTTTCCTGTGTTCTACTAGACCCCCGGCCTGTTTTGCTGAACATTTTGCAAACCAGTTGTCCCCAAGAAGAACTGTCACCTCATTGGTGTGCACAAGTCTTCCTGGCATGAAAGCTAGAGGACCAAAAGGGACCTATCAAAGTAACAACAGAAAAGGAAAGCAGTGAAAAATCATCTACGGCAGACATGTCAAACACAAGGCCCGGGGGCCAGATGCTGCCCGCAAAGTGGTTTCATGTGGCCTGCGAAGCCATCCTGGAAACAGTGAGGGAACGGCCCCCGCTGCCTTGGCCCTGGCCCAGGCTGCCCGGGAGCCAATGTACAATTTTGTGGTGGCCATCTATGCTGAAACGCATTCAGTCTTAGCTCCACAAGGCCGTCTGGAAACAGCGAGGAACCAGCCCCTGCCGCGTCGATCCCGCCCCCTGGGTGTATGCTGGGGAGGTGTCACCCTTTGTGAGGAATGAAGAAATGCATCATGCCTTGGAACTTGCCCCGGTCCCACCCCCTTCTGCCAGAGACCCTCAGATCTGTCCCACTCCTGCCCAGGCCCCCATAGGCACCCTTGACACGAACGATGTAGAGCTGGCCATGCCCACCCAGTAGGCCGCACCCACCCTGGCCACAGCCACCCGGCCCCCCAAGGGCAACCGCAATGCTAATGCGTCCCTCAATGAAATTGAGTTTGACACCCCTGATCTACGGAGAGAAATTTCATTTATGGGCAGTTCTACCTTCATGCTACAAGCCTTAATGTTTCAAAAAAGAAAGGACTACAGGTAGCCCTTGACTTACAATCATTCATTTAGTGACCGTTAGAAGTTACAACAGCACTGATAAAAGTAACTAATCATCATTTTTCACACTTACAACCCATGGTCACGTGATTGATATTCAGGGGCTTGGCAACTGGCATGTATTCAAGACGGTTGCAGTATCCTGTGTTTACATGACCACCATTTACGACCATCAGTCAGTGGGGAAGCCAGATTCACTTAACAACCGTGTTACTAACTTAACAACTGCAGTGATTCACTTGACAGCTGTGGCAAGAAAGATCTTAAAAGGGGCAAAACCTACGTTAACAAACGAACAAAAATTTGGGGGTGAATTGTAGTAAGTCAAGGACTACCTGTGTCTTTTAATTAAATCTACCGTGCTTTCATAACTATCTCGGAGTCGTTCGATATATTTTGCAAAACTGTTAATTAGATGTACATCTCACTTGCCAAGAAGACTAGCAGTGTATCATCTAACTGCACATTTCACAGATCATCTCTATCACCAAGTCCTGACTAGTGAGCTAATCATGTTCCGATATGCTTGATGCTACCCAAGCAATTACTTCTAAGCAACAAGCTTTCTCGCCAGAATAAAAACTTTTCCCGAATTAAGATTCTCTCAGTGTAAACTATTTTATATAATCAATAACCAAGACTTAAAAGCTTTTTTTTTTGTCTTTCGCTTCACAGGAAATTGTTGTCTATTGGAAATGAAATTACAGACTTCATAAAATGAGTACCAAATATGAATATTATCAAATAGGGCAGACGTCATAGTACATTGTCAACATTTCGGGAGGCCGAAAAAGGGGAAAAAAACATATATAATGCCAGAATCAGATCCAAAGAATCAGGACAATGGGTAGGTTGCAGCTTTAGAAGATTTATTCAGGTCTATACACAAGAAGTGGCATGGTGGCTCAACGGTTAAGACACTGGGTTGTCGAATGGAAAGCCGGCAGCACAGGTTTGAGACCCGAGCACCATACGACGGGGTGAGCCCCCGTCCTCACCCCAGCTCCTGCCAACCTAACAGTTTGAAAGCATGCAAAGGCAAGTAGATAAATGGGTACCACTCTGGAGGGAAGGTAACATCACTCTGTGATGTCATGCTGGCCACATGACCGCGGAAATGACTTTGGACAACACTGGTTCAATGTCTTTGAAAGAGAGATGAGCGCCGTCCCCTATAGTCGGCAATGAGTAGCGGAGTAAAATCCGCAGGGACTCTCCTTTACCTTGTTTTATATACATGACTCTGGTCAACTAAAGTTCAACCCTAAATGAGCAGCAGATAAGGGTCACTAGGATTCAGGAGGAGGTGGACTTGGAGTGCTTGTGGGAATGCAATGATTCTAAGCTGCTGACACATTTAACTCAGCCTCCCCAGCTCTGCCCCTTCTCCTACACATATATTTGTTTAAGGCGATCAAGAATTAGATAGCCTGTGTTCAAATCTGCTAGTTGGTTGTAGACTGTACTGCCATGCCTTTGAAAGATAAGCACACAAGAGAGGCATAAAAACAAGCAAGAGTCAGATACTAAACTGTACCTACCATGACCTCATATGAAAGTTTGTCTGGCAGCGTACTGAGTCTGTCCTGAAGTGCTTCGTAGTCACTCTCAACCTTCTTCCTACAGGGAAGTTCAGACAAATGTACTGTCAGTTCTAAATCTTAATTAATTTTATGAACATAGAAATATATTACACACATTTCTAAGCTGAGGCTTGAATCAGAAACTATGCTTTGCATGTTATGGTGACAAACTGCCACAAGTAATTTGGGTTGGAAGGGAGAGGTGGGGAGTTCCGGGGCATTTTTCCATCTTTTTGTAAATATGATGTCTGTGAGTACAGGTAATTCTTAACTTACAACCACAATTATTCCCAAAATTTCCCTTGCCAAGCAGGACAGTTATTAAGTGAATTTTGCCACATCTTGCCAGGCGTTCAAATTTTGATCGGGTGCCCATGGGATGCTGTAACAGTCATAAGTCACTTTTTTCCATGTCATTGTAACTTTGAACAGCCACTAAATCAGGGGTCTTCGAACTTGACCTTTTTATGACTTGTGGACTTCAACTCCCAGAATTCCTCAGCCAGCATGCCTGGCTGAGGAATTCTGGAAGTTGAAGTCCACAAGTCATAAAAGGGCCCACATTCGAAGACCCCTGCACTAAATGAATGGTTGTAAGTCGAGAACTATCTGTAATGAAAGGAATTCCATCAAGGGATATTCTCCAAGCCCGCAAATTGTTTCTTAAAAGACAATTATTCTAGAGATGAACGATTTGACCATTTTTTAAAATCAATATCCATTAGGTTCAATCATCAGAGGCCTATTTAATTCAATTCCACGTGGACTCGGATAGGGTTGTGCTATTAGAAAACCTAGAGCAAACCTATATCAAGGGTGTCGAGAAACACCACAATGCAGCCTCTAGATCAGGGGTGCCCAACCTTGGCGACTTTAAGACCTATGGACTTCAACTCCCAGAATTCTCCAGCCAATTCTGGCAGTCGAAGTCCCTAAGTCTTAAAGCTGCCAAGGTTGGACACCCCCGATCTTGATTTCAACCACTTTGTATGACCCTTCATAGGACATACACTTGAATGGGCTTTCTCATTCTGTCTCAGCAAAACCAGAGTAAAAGAAGACTACAGTTCACCTAGTAATCTCACAGTGAGTCAACTCCATGTCCTTCTTCCTAGGATCTACTGCAGGGGTCTTCAAACTTGGCCCTTGGCTGGCTGAGGAATTCTGGGAGTTGAAGTCCACAAGTCATCAAAGGGCCAAGTTTGAAGACCCCTGATCTACTGCCTTGCACTGAGGTAGGAATTGGAAGTGAAAGATGTGAAAATGTGTGAAATTGCTTCCCAAAATTAAGCCCCTCTTCTTTGGGGGCTCAGCTGAACCTCTCAGAACATCAGCTGGGAAGAAAAGGAGAGCGGTGCTGCTCCCTGTGGAGAAATCTGTAGATCAGATTTCATTATAAAGGTTCTGCAGCAGTACAAAAATGTTTTTTTTAAAAAAAGCTTGATTCCAGCAGCACCAATAGACACCAATATAATACCCGTCTTACTGGAAATCAATGCAGCCTCTGAATTTTAAATAGTAGAACAACATATTAGCTCTAAACTGTTTTTTTTTTTTTTAACAATCCAATGGTCACAACTGAATATGATGAGCATTAGATGGCCTTGAGCCTCCCTCCCTCCCTCTCCTCCTTCTGGCAGCTTATGTGCATTTAAACTAAGCCCCCCCCTCATCAAAACCAAACATCTGATACGTCTGAACTATAAATTATTTGTTCAGAGGTCTTTCAGGCATGAAGAAAAAGCCTCTTAAAATAAATTTAAAATATTATATGCTTGATGGTGTATAACCAAAAGTTTAATCTCTCCACTAAAGGGGGCAGTTGCTATGATTTTTGCAATAACCCTGCAGACAATAATCAAGAAAGCTCCCGTTGCTCCTTCCGTAAAATCCAACAAACACAGCATGGATGTGGCATAATTTGGAACGTGTTAAGAGGGAGCGTTACCTCTCAATAACTCATAAACAACTGTTTACCTTTGGATGTCCCTTTTCCAATTAGATGGCCATATGAAACTTTTATTTATTTAAGCTGTTTCTATTAATTAAAAAAAAAAAGCAACACGTTAAAGCAATGAAGAGAAGACCCGAGTGATATTTTAAGGGCTGAGTGTTCCTCTAAAATCTTAAGTTTATCTAAGGCTTAAAACGAGGATATACTTTCACAATCATTGGAGAAACTAAAACCACCTTTCAAGTGGGGAAAAAAAAAGTCCTTTGTAAATATCAGACCCGATAATCTAAACTTGGACTTATGAAGTTATCTTGGAAGTCTCTCAATGCCATTTAAATACTCAATCATGACTGTTAAAAATGTCTTGGAACAATCGAAAAAATAAATGGTTGGAATTGGAGTTCACTGAGTTTTTAAAAGACTTTGTATGTAGTTATTTAAGCTGGAAGAATGTAGAATAACTGAATGTCTTTTTTAAAGAGGTGCAGGTTTTAAAAGCATGATTATAGTGGTGAATTAAAGCAATAACATAGGCAGTGCAACGGGTGCAATTTAATAAGCCAAGCAGAGTCAAAATGATGCACCGGAATACAGTATTATATGAATTTGGTTAATTTTCTAAAGAATATATATGCAGGGCGCTTTTCTAAAGCACACATAAGCTATTTGCATTGATATTTTAGGCATGCAATCAAACATTTTTTCACTTACCAATGCTGGATTTTTTCTTGGCAGCTAGTGACCACCTGTCATTAAAACAGATAACTGCTCATGAAAAAGAGAAGGCTAAGCACACAGCTGCAAAGTCAATGTTTTAGAAACTAGAGCAGCAGCGTTATAGATTTAGTAGCGTCTGGCTATACATTTTTATTTGTCAGCCCAAAGGCGCAGGAATGTTCATTCTTAAGCAGCATACTTTATCACGATGCCCTAATCCAGACTGATAACCACAGAATAAATTAGAGCATCCTCAACTCAAGATTTTGATACAAGGCACGCTCCATAACAAGATGGCACCATACAAGATAAGGCTAGTCTTTTGTACAATCTACACATCTGCTTTCAATTCCATGACCTTTTCAAAAACCAAACAAAACATAGTTTATGAAGGACTTGCTTGTCTGTTTTCTTTAAAAGAACCCATTAAAACGATTTCATTTTTAGACTAATGGACGTCTAAATCACAGCATCACTCTGGCAAAGTTTAAAAAAAATATATAGGCTCGTATTTTCAAAAGCATAATATGTGCGTAAATGTAAGTAAACATAAACTTCTGTCATGTTACAGTCTTCGGAATTCATGAAAAGGTCACCATTTGGCCACCACAAACAAAATCACAAAACGTATTACAGTTGTTATATTCCATAATTTTCAGCTACCCCGTTCACATCAGAAATAGAGTTTCTGGACAACTGAGGTCCATGCAGCCACCCAAATTAGGTACATTTTATTAATAAACCATTATATTTCCATCCCACCTGAAGGACATAGCCATAATATTCCTTCTTCGGTTTTTATCCCACCATTAACAACTGTGAAATGATTAAAAAATTTAAAAAATGATTGGTCCAAAGTCACTCAAGTCTCCCTACTTGTAATCCCAAACCTTTAACCATTACTTTTAATTTTTTTTAAAAGTAAGCATATAGTCTTTGAGGGCTGGGAATGTTAGAAGTTACAATTCCAATGAATCACGAACAGTGATTTCAACGTCAGTAAACGCCTATCTGCCAGGTTTAAAAATACATAGATCTAGAAATCACCAATTTGGGAAAGAACACTTGGTTTAGTTTTCACCTGCCTGATAACTAGGAAATAGTGAAACAGAAACAGTGGAATCCAAAGAGTTAAGAGTAGAGCTTGGGTACGTAAACAGATTTCTCAAATTCTATAATGTTCCCTCTTGTCATTTTAATTCTCAAGTCTCTCTGAAGAGCTTTTTTAGAAGCTGGGAAACCTTCCAGAGCAGACTCTAAAGCTACCAAGAATTGTTTACAGAAGAAGAAACCAAGAGGGTCCTGTTTTGAGAGCGGAATATTTGGGTGTAAATATCGGTACCTTGTAGCTAGAGCTTACATATTTTATGCATGAATTCAGTTTAAATGTACCTGCTTTATTATATCAAGAAAGCAACCAACCAACAAACCCGCTTTGATGAAAAGATCTGATCCCAGTGAGATTTATAGATGACTAATATATTGGCATTGGCATCATTGTTGGGGATGGTTTTTCAGGTTAAAAAGAGAGAAAACCAAGTAATGTCATTCTGTTTATCAAATTCCATAGAACCACACGTCTTAAGCCCATGAAGAGCTATAGATAACCCTTCTATCATCCTAAGTCCATTAATATAAAAACTAAAACCTTAGGACAAATACGATTAATAGAGATGCTTGCTTTATATGTATCTTTCCCTTCTAAAGCGTTATCTAAGATGTATCGTATATCTACAACATGGATGGCTAGTAAAAAAAAAATATGGCTTCTAATCCTGCTTCAAAATCAACCTGACGATGCAATATACATTCTTGATTCAGGTATGATCGCTTTGAAACCCAAAATGAATCTATGAACAAGGGCTTGTGAGGAAAGCAAGAGACCAATGCAGATAGTCCTCAACAATTCATTTAGTGACTGCTCAAAGATACAACGGCACTGGCTTATGACCGTTTTTCACACTTGCGACCTTTGCAGTATCCCCCTGGTCACAGGATCAAAATTCAGACGCTTGGCAACTGCTTCATGTTTATGACAGTTGCAGCGTCACGGGGCCACGGGATCCCCTTTGGTGACCTCCTAACAAGCAAAGTCAATGGGGGAAGCCAGATTCACTTAACAACCACATTACTAGCTTAAAAATTGCAGGGATTCACCTAACAGGCGTGGCAAGAAAAGTCGTAAAACGGGACAAGACTCTCTTGACAAATGTCTCAGTTAGCAACAGAAATTTTGGGCTCAATTGTGGCCGTAAGTCCAGGATGACCTGTACCAACAGAACCATGCCACTGGTATGATGGGGCCAGCGGCATTCATCCATGAGACCACAATAAATACTCATGGCTGAACGTGCTAGAACAGTGCTGTTCCTATAACTCAGTGGTGGCAAACCTATGGCACGCGTGCCAGAGGCGGCACTCAGACCCCTCTCTGTGGGCACGTGCGCCGCCGCTGCCAGCAGCTTGCACAGGTCCATTAGGCCGCTGCCGCTGCCCGGAGCAACAGCCCCACCCAGCATAAAGGAGGCGAAGTGGCCAGCTAGCAAGCTAAAATAGAGGTGGTAGAGCACGCCCACACCCAGCAAGCCAAAGGCCACCCCGAGCAGGAAAAGCCAGATCCCCATCGGCGCCATAGCTCCCCAGTCCCAGCTAGGATTGCGTGCTCCCCCCCATCTATGCTGGGCCTCCTGCCCACCACCCCACCTGCCAGAGACCCCTTGGATCTCCCCCAACACTGCCCGGCCCCCACAGGCGTCCCCCCCACGAGCAACATCGAGATGGCGATGTTTCGAGATGTTTCGTTACTCAGACACATGACACATGCCCACCCCAGCCACGCCTACCCAGTCTGCCGTGACAACCTCAGCCATGCTCACCCAGTGGGCCACGCCCATCCAATGGGCCACGCCCCCTTGCCCCCCCTGAGGGCACCACAATGCTGATGTGGCCCTGGCACTTTGCAATAAATAAGTGGGTTTTGGATTGTGGTTTGGGCACTCGGGTCTCTAAAAGGTTCGCCATCACTGCTATAACTTTTAAGGAACGCGTTCTGTATCATGAAAATTGTTTTGTGTGTGTGTGTGGGGGGGAAACCCGAGATCTCCAATCCCTCATTTCTGCGTAGGGGGAACAAGAGCGCCAGGGAAACCTTCCGAATCCCAGCGCAGGGCTTTCCGAGCACAGAGTGCTAAAGGCAACACAACCCGTGAAGTGCAGCATGTTCATTAACCTCTACATGATAATCCTTTCGTAGCTGCATATTAACTAGTTACATATTCATAATCATTTACATTATTTAGAAGACCTCCTATGAAAATTTCCAGGCGATATCCATTAGCTGCAATGTTAAAGGTTACCCAAGATTGTCTGCTTAATGTTTCCAGGAAGCTTTTTTTAATTAGTAAATATGTAAATTGGGAGCATATGCTTTCCCCCCTCCCTTTTTTAAAAAAAAAATATAAAAAAAAAATTGGGGAGATATGAGCCATCGATAGAAGAGCAGAGGAACATATGTTGTTTTCCCTGACCTTTAACCCCTGAGATGAAAATCGGCAACACCGATCCGCTTTAATTCCGCTCTTCTTCTTTTGATATCTCCCATAATGGGATAGGGAAAGGCAGACTCAAAAGAAAACATGTGTGAAATCCCCTCGTTAGAATAAGAGAAGTTGCCAGAGTCAGATCAATGGTCTACCTGGCTCAATAGGATTTACTTGGGACTGGCAAAAGCTCAGAGATCTTGGATGGGAATTCTTCCAACTTGAAAATACTGAACTTCAGACCCGCTGCCTCGGAGGGAACGAGGGTCCAGCACTGAGTCACCGGCTTCAAAGAATAACAACAGTTTAAGATTGCGTGTGTCTAGAAGCATTTTTGATCGTGTAATGGTTGGCAGCAACTACCCTGAGACTAAGCAGATATTGGAAGTTATGGAACAAAAAGATGACTGATAAATAAGACCAACAAGAAATGGGAGAGAGGAAACAGACTTCTCAACGGAGAGTTTGGGGGGGCTTGTTTTCCTATAGAAATTTTAGCACCTTGTTTACTGGGCTGCAAAATCGAAGCACGGGATTGACAGAAGACCAAGTATAACATACCGTGTTTCCCTGAAAATAAGACCCAACCGGAAAATCAGCCCTAGCATGATCTTTTCAGGATGCTCGTAATAGAAGCCCTACCGCAAAAAATAAGCCCCAGTTAAGATCATCTGCCAGACGGACGCGTTTAGTACCGAATTTCCCCGAAAATAAGAGCTAACTGGAAAATAAGCCCTAATGCGTCTTTTGGAGCAAAAATTAACATAAGACCCGGTCTTATTTTTAGGGAAACATGGTATGTAGAGACTGGTCTCGGAGGTGGTCCTATCTGAGTGGTCTCAGACTGGTCCATCTGAAGCGATGCCGCTTATTTTGTTACACATGAGCTTGCTATTACTATATATCAGAAGAAGCTGTCCACAATCCATGAGCCAGTTTCTTCTGAAATATAGTACAGGTAGTCCTCGACTTATAACAGTTCATAGAATGGAATGGAATGGAATGGAATGGAATAGAATAGAATAGAATAGAATAGAATAGAATAGAAGGGACCTTGGAGGTCTTCTAGTCCAGCCCCCTGCTCCAGCAGGAGAACCTATACCATTTCAGACAAGTGACTGTCCAGTCTCTTCTTAAAAATCTCCATTGATGGAGCACCCACAATTTCTGAAGGCAAGTTGTTCCACTGGTTTGTTGTCTTCACTGTTAGGAAGTTTCTCCTTAATTCCAGGTTGCTTCTCTCTTTGGTCAGTTTCCAGCCATTGTTTCTTGTCCTTCCCTCTGGTGCTTTGGTGAACAACCTGGCCCCCTCTTCTTTGTGACAGCCCCTCAGATACTGGAATACTGCTATCATGTCTCCCCTATTTCTTCTTTTCTTTAGACTAGCCAAACCCAAGTCCTGCAACCGTTCTTCGTATGTTTTAGTCTCCAGGCCTTTGATCATCTTAGTTGCTCTTCTCTGAACTTTTTCCAAAGTCTCAACATCTTGT